TATATATATATATATTGTTTCTATGAAACTTTTTTTTCAACATAATTATGTATTACAAAATAGACTTACAAAACTATGTTACATTTTTAAGTTGTGTAATTAATTATTTACATATGTATGGTTGTGTGTCCAAAAATATATTGCTGTCAGCATGTTAATATTATGTTTATTAGGTATAATGTTTTATACCTACACTGTACAGATTATGTGAATAAGTATGTAAATACATTATGATGAGTATAATGGTGTTGGAAGGTTTAAAAAGTCACGAGTCACAAGTATTTTTTCTGGACACCAAGGCACTTATGATTTTATAATTTTACGTGTATATATAGGCATGTACTTACTACACATATATTATGTTATCTATTAGCCAAAAATCTTGCAAATTTTACGTGCTAGATTTATTTTTGGCTTGGCTAATTATTTGCATTGATGCGCTTGCAATTTTTCAAATGAAAATTTAAATTATGCTATTTTATTTACATTCCCTCTTACATAATATACAAATTTTTTTGTTTAATGTTGAAAAAAGAAATTATTTACAATTCATCGAAATTTTCATGATATGCTATTAAATATATTACAATACACGCCTTTTAAATATTAAATATTTTACTCTAGTTATAAAGCCAAAATAATTCATCAAAATCAGACATTTTTATGCCTCATATTAGATTCTGTTGCTTGACAAGCGATTGTAAGCCCTTTGAAAATTGATAAATAAGGTCTTGGAAAATTAAAATAAATTATATAAACTGCAGATTAGGCAATATACCCTTTCAAGACCCATAATTGCCTGTAACTTAAAACAGAATCAGCCGGCAAAAAGTTATCTTTTAGCAAATTATAAGAAACAGTAATTAAAACAAATAAAATCGAGAGAAAATCACAGACTACGAGTAGTTTACATGCCATTGTAAGCCGGGCCACCACCACCTTCTGGAACGACCCAATTTATATTCTGACTCGGATCCTTAATATCACAGGTCTTGCAATGAATGCAATTTTGTGCGTTGATTTGTAATCTCTGTCCTTGACCGTCCTCCAGAGGCACGTATTCATACACGCCTAGAAAAAAATATAATAACACTTTTCATTTTCTACTTCCACTCCTAATTTCAAGTTTATTAAATCATTATTGAATTACCAGCTGGGCAAAACCTCCCCTCTGGACCATCAAAGACTTTCAGGTTTAATTTAACTGGCACACTGTCGTCCATCAAAGTTAAATGTGCCGGTTGATCTCCTTCGTGGTTTGTACCAGTTAGAGCGACGGACGAAAGTAAATCAAATGATATAACGTTGTCGGGCTTTGGATACTCGATAGGAGTGCACTCAGCCGCAGGCTTCAATCTCTTGTGGTCCGGTTCTGAAAGTCATTTAAATGACAATGAGAAATCAAATAAAGTTTCAGTTTTCCGCAGACGAGTGTACCTCCATGCTTGAAAGTCCAAGGCTCTCTGCCGCCCAAAAGCATCGAGAACGCCGAATAAGCCATTCCTCCGTAGAGGCCCAGCGACGTGTGGAAGCTCGGCCTGACGTTCCTGACCGCCTTCAACTCCTTGTAAATCCAACTGTCTTTTATTTTACTCTCGTAAGTCTTCGGCTCGAGACCTTTGGTAGTTGACGGCGTCGTCTCTGCATCGATGATCGCTTCAACAGCGCTCTCCGCGGCCAGCATGCCACTCTTCATTGCGTTGTGCGTGCCTTTGATTTTAGGCACGTTCATGAAGCCAGCGGTGCAGCCAACTAGACAGCCACCAGGGAACTGCAATTTTGGTAGAGACTGGAAGCCTCCCTCTACCAGAGCTCTTGCGCCGTAGGCTATCCTGTAAATAAGACGTATTTATTTTTTTTTTTTTTTTTTATGACACAGTGGAAGGAAAAAGTAACGCGAACTTACCTCTTTCCACCTTCGAGGGTTGATTTGATGGAGGGGTGATGCTTGAACCTTTGAAATTCTCTGAAGGGACTCAGGTATGGGTTCGTGTAGTCGAGACCGACGACGAAGCCGATCGCTATGAGCGGCGTTTCCTCATTCAAGTGGTACAAAAATGAACCGCCGTATGTGTTTTTGTCCAAGGGCCACCCTACGGTGTGCTCGACTGTTCCTGGGGAATGTTTCGACTTGTCGATCTCCCAAATCTGCATGCAAAGAAAATGTTACGATCCATCAAAATCATCGTTAATTCAAATACCATGTGCATATGTATACGAGCCTCTTTCAAACCAATCCCATAAGTCTGGGGCTCGCAGTTGTCGCGAAGATGAAATTTCTTCGCGATCTGCTTGGTGAGGTGCCCATGACATCCTTCGGCAAAGATCGTACATTTAGCGTGAAGCTCCATGCCTCGTTCAAAGGTGTCCTTTGGCGAGCCGTCCTTGGCAATGCCGACGTCATTCGTCGCGATGCCTTTGACAGAACCGTCCTCGTGGTACAAGATCTCTGAAGCACCATAGCCTGGATAAATTTCGACACCTGCGGCCTCAGCCTGTTCTCCAAGCCACGCCACCACGTGGCCCAACCTGTTGCGGGCACAATAAATTTTACGCATACTGTTACATCAACGGCTCGAAAGGAAAAGATAGTGCTCTCTAAAATAAGATTATTTTCAAACCGCCGTTGTACTGGTTTAATAAATAAAACGATTTTAAAGTTTCAAAATAGATTTTCGGGACATGGCGCTCTTGTTTTCTTCGAGTCAACGATCGGCACGGCCAATACCGATGTAAAAAATGTTAAAAAAAACAATCCACGTCTCACGCACCTGACAACGTAATTGCCGTGATTGTACATGGGCATGCCCTTGAAGATCGGCACGGGAATTCGTCCCTTTTCGGTGAGCAGGGCAAACTTGTCCTTAGTGACGGGCGTGTGAAGCGGCGCACCGAGTTCCCTCCAGTCGGGAAAGAGCTCCTGCAGGGCCACAGGATCGATGCAGGCACCACTGAGTATATGGCCACCCACGGTCGCCGCTTTCTCTACGAGAGTTACCTTGAGATCACGACCATACTTTTCGGCGAGCTTGCGGGCCTGGATTGCTGCGGACATACCTGCCGGGCCACCCCCGACGATCAGAATGTCCGTCTCGTCGACGTAGCGCTCCATGTTTACATCTGCAAAGGGTAAGCGACGATTTGCATTATCCATTTTGGAAGAATGTGGTTTAAAAGTGTTAAACTGTATATTAATTACCTTTCCATCGTGGGTCGCTGTCTCGAGGTACGACCGTGTAGTGCGTCGTGATTTTTGGAAACGCCGCCTCGGAGTAGGCCCGCTGCGACAACAGCTTCAGTCTGCAAACTGACAAAACGAGAAAAAAAAATCGTTATTGATTGATTGAGGATTGCCGATCAATTTAAACAGATCGCGCCGCTAACGTTGATTGGCCGCTCTATCTTCGCGAATCAACCAATCCTTGCTGCATATCTTTGTAGTTGCCCGTCGGGGGGTCAAAGTGTTTTACAATTTTTTTTTTTTTCCATACACGTATAGGTATGTATAGGGTATGCGATGTGTATTGCTGATATCAAAACAGTAATAAGTATAAAAATGGATAAAATCCTTTTATCTCTCACGCAGTCATGGGCTTGCGTATTTAATATATACTTATACATTTTCCTTATAACGTGCACAGCTCTTTAAAAAGTTTGTGATAGAGTATGGAACATTTTGTGTTGAAGAGTATATAAGTATCGAATTTTTACATAAAATGAATACATACGTATGGGAGTGTACACGCCAATAAAATTATATAATGCGTGAAATGTACGGGCGAACAAGCCCAAAATATGGATAGTGTCTCCCTGGGGGCTTGTAGAATTAATTTAAAAAACTCTAGACAATAACATGTACTTATTTTCTACGAGTCATCCGTTCGATTGATCAGCGTGTCCTTGCGCTCGATATTTTTACCTTTGATTTGACGCGCTTTCATGCCAAAAATAAAAAATGAACGGAAGCCTGTAAATACAGCTACTTACAAAACATTTACTCGAGGAGAATAGGTTTTTTAAAGAGCTGTAAGACTTATGAATGTTAGTTTAAGTGTATGTGTGGTATATGCATATCAGGAGCCTCACCAATTTTGAAGTTTCCAAGTACGGATGCGGCCATGCTGGAGTCACTGCTCAAGGCACGGCGCAGTTGAATATGTATGAATTATAAAAAAAATAAACCAACAAAATAAGTGAACAACTGGAGCCTTAAGACACTCAGCCACAGTTGTATATGTAGTGGCATTCGCCGTGACTGGCGACTGCGTGTCATCACTGATCTGACTTTAAGTTCCACAAATGCCTTTCTGGCACTTCTGATTGGCTTGGCCAAGTAAAATATCTCATGTGAGTAAAAGAGAGACAGCTTATTGAGTTATCATTATCACTGTCAGCAGAGTTGCAGCACAGCCAGAGTGTAGGTATATACCTATATATGAGTATCCTGCGAGTGTGGAATTGTGGAAATTGAAAGAGGGTGAAATCTTGGGCGCGCTCACATAATAGAAATTCACTAGAAAGCTAGTGTCCACAGCGGAGGGTCTATTGAAGCCGATCTATTAGACCCTACTAAAATTCACTTTAAAAGGAAATTTCTCCCAAAAGAAATATCTTACTTGAGTTTAAATTTGGAACCAGGGCACGATTCCGATTTCTGTGGCGTCGCAATCTGAGTGTCGTTTCTTACATGTATGTTGATGCCAGGAATATAGGGGAAAAATAATTAAAAAATTCCTACTTAGCTCCTTTTCGAGATATCGAACTTAATAACCGAAAAAATCATATTTTGTATACATGCGATATTAGGGTTATTTCTCGCTTATTTGACAGTAATAAATATGAAAAAAATAATGAAAACAATTCTACTTGCTTTTTTTTCAAGATGTCGCGTCTTTTAATCAGAGAAGGTTGGGTTCTTTGTTTATTTATAATACTTAAAATTTACTTCTCTGTAATAAATGTATTTTTTATTTAGTGAGATCCAATGCTCCATTCTTAGGAGACTCTTCCTGTGACTGTACTTCTTTTTTAGGCCTTTTTTCTTCAGTTGTCTCTTTTCGACTGATTAATTCACGTATATATTTGATCGTAATTCAAGATTTCAGTGACACAATACATATCATATACTTAAGTTAACTGTTGGTTTAAACTATAAAGTCAAAGGGCTGTACTGCCTGTGCTTCCATAAATTAATGGTAAAAGGTCTAAGGTATTGTAAGTTTGTGAATATGGTTGATTTTATAAGCCATATAAGATAAGTAGAATATTTATACTTTCACAGGTCAATTTTTGGATTGAAGATAAATTGTAAACTTGCCGCAGATAGCACAAAATACGTCAACTTATTATTGTCTATCCATAAAATCAGTTGCGGCTGGTTTATAGTTAATAAAATGGCTCTTTACTGTAAGTATTTTGGATTAGCGCCATCTAGCGTTGCGAATTTTTGAACTAAAAAGTGGCCCTAAACTTTTGATACAGAGCAATTGAGCTCAGAGCTATTTAGTCAATTATAAACGAGCCGCAACTTATCATGTAGCTATAAAATAAAAAAATAACGATACATGTGTTTTTGGCGGCAAGTTAACAATCTATCTTTTACTCGAAAATTCATCTTCAAAAGTTTAAATACATAGGAGGTCGATTGTTTGGTAGAAAATAGATTGTTAACTTGCCGCCAAAAACACACGTACTGTTATTTTTTTATNGATAACAATCTATCTTTTACTCGAAAATTCATCTTCAAAAGTTTAAATACATAGGAGGTCGATTGTTTGGTAGAAAATAGATTGTTAACTTGCCGCCAAAAACACACGTATCGTTAATTTTTTATTTTATAGCTTCATCATGAGTTGCGGCTGGTTTATAATTGACTAAATGGCTCTAATCCTGATTGCTCTGATTGAGAATTTTAGGAGCCACTTTTGGCCAAAAAATAAAGACCGCTAGATGGCGCTGATCCAAATAATTGCCATTTACAGTAGTCACTTTATTAATCATAAACCAGCCGCAACTAATTTGATAAATAGACAATAAAAAGTTAAAACTTTTTGTGCTATTTGCGGCACGTTTACAATATATCTTTTACCCGAAAAACGACCAAATAATTCTCACAGTACAGCCATGTATAATTGATGTAATCGATTATAAACCAGCCGCTGAGCCGCTTGCGGTATACTTATTTACTTATGCGATGAATATTGCGAACCGCGATCAAATTACCTAACACCAGCCTCATACTTCATACTATAGTCACACTGCAGAGTGCACATACACATTTTGTACTATTTTAATTCTAGGAAATGCACGTGTGGATTGGCTTAATGTCGTTCCTTAAATCTGACTTGACTTCGTAATTCGTATTCGTATTTGGTGTAAAAGTACAACGGTACAACAATCTCTGGCACAACGTGCCTGAGGATAATGGTCATATAACGTAATATTAACAAAGTTATCGGTGTAGTTGTCACGTACTTGTGTTGTTTTATAATATGTTGCCGCACACAATACATAAATGAAAAACGTTTTCATTTTCACTTGTATTTATATAATGTCGCTCGTTCAGTTATGAATAATTTATTATTTTAATCAATTACACATTGCACAAAGTCTGTAAGTCAGTCTCAACACACCATGGAGCCTAATAAAAACGATTGTAAGTTATTTCTTTTAACTTTTTAAGTTTTTACACTTTTGAGGTTACATGTAGATTAAATTGATAAATAATTGTTTTTTTTTTTTTTTTTGTTTTTTCAATTAATTTTTCGAAAAAAGTGTTAGTACCTACCTATATAGACTTAACAGCAAGCAAATATATAACGTGTTAAGCTTTGAAAACTTTTTTTTCAAACTGTACATTGATTAAAAATTTGCCAGTGTCTAACAAATATTGATAAAATATTTGCAAGTCGTACTGTGAGTATTATTTAAAAAAATAAGACTAATCACGTGTGCAATTGTAGGCATTGATGTGGCAATACCCAAAGATGCAGTGGAAGTTAAAGTGACCAACATGATTAATCCTTACTACATCAGAGTTTATGAAGTAGCAAAAACGTGCACAAGAAACAACAATTTAACTAGGGTGCTCCAAAAAATAGAAAAATCTCAGCTAAAAAAGAAAAATTTGCATTCCAAAAGTATTGCTCTTGGTGATGTAAGTATACTTGCCAGCACGAAATTCACTGTCTCAATGCTCTTTTGTCACATGTTTTCATTAACTGTTTTAGAATGTGATTGTATCACTGAGTAGCATAAATGATGAACAATATGACCTTCCTGATTGGATATGCAGAGGTATTGTTACTGACACAACTTCAAACTCATCGGAAGTATTTCTTATAGATTATGGCATAGCTATTAATGTTCCTACCACGTCTCTTGTACAGTATAAAGACAGTCAAGTTCCAGTAGAGCACTTCACATTAACTGTTGGGTTGTATAATATTGTGCCTCTTGATTCGAAACTTTGGTACCATATATTTTTTTATGGATTTCATACATGCATACGAAATCTCATTGTTTCATTATTTTAATCAATTCCTTTAGTGTTCAAAAAGACTGGTCAGATAATACTTTGAATTTTATAAGACAGTTGTTTCAAGTATCAAAAAAGACTTATTTTCAAGTTTTAGCCAATGACTACAAAAATGGAAAATTGTATGGAGATTTTTTTCTTGTGATTGAAGAAAGAAACATTTGTTTGAGTAAAATATTGATATGTAGTTTGAAAGCTGTTCCTCTTGCTAAAGGTATGTTTTTGTTTTTAATTTACATATTTATAACACATCCACCAATCTTTTCAATCATTGTATGGTAGAACTAAAAGCAGCCATAAAGAATGATACTGATGAACCGAAAATTTCTTTTTCATATCAAATGAACACTCCCAAGTAAGTTCCTACAATATGTTGAAAAAATAAATTACGAATTATAAATTAAAAGTTTAACTATGAAAAAATAAATCTTGCTCTTATAGAGACAACGAAAAAGTTAGCCAGAAAACAAACGAGAATGTTACAACGATTGAAAAAAAAAAGTTTTATACCAAAAACAAGTTTCTTAATAAAGAAAAAATGCTTATTCGAAGTGAATTATCAATTGAACCTTTGGAACATTTATCTGAAGCACGATTTACCTCAGGCATACATAAGGTAACTGAATGGTTTATGATTACCTACTGTAAGTATTCACATAAATTCATGTTAATTTTTTTTAAATATTAATAGGCTCTCAATAACAATGGGGTTCGTACACCCAAACACATACAAACATACATGTGGCCTGCTGTCAGGAAAGGTTTTAACACTGTTGCTGTTGGCACAACGGAATCTGGAAAAACTATTGGTTACTTGGTCCCAATGATAAGTTGCGTCACAAATCGTGAAGAGGTATATTATTAAATTATATGCCTACAAGTTAACTTCTGTTATCTGATTATGAAATATAAATAATTTCTTCTATTTATACTAACAGAATACATTAGAAAATAAAAAAAGCTGTCTCGGGGCACAACCGATAGTTCTAATTTTGTGTACAAACATATCTGACTGTATTTATGTAGCTGATAACTGCAATCGTCTTTTATATGAGTACAAGTCCGTCAAATGTTACGCAGCTTTTAACGGAATATCAGACAAAACGCTTATGGTAAGTTTTTTCAGTATCCATTAATAGTTATATGGATGATCATTGGAATAGTTAATTTTTCTTTGCAGACAAAAATATTGAATAAGTTTAATATTTTAATTACAACACCGCCTTTTCTACTCAGATTACTGGACTCTGATATGTTTGCCAAAAAAATAGATTTCTCAGATTTGTCATGCTTGATACTGGACAAAGCTGACCTAATACTAGAAAAGTACCGACAAGAAGTGAGCGTAAAAATTTGATTAGAAGTAAAAACTTAACTACAATGACATCAATAATGATCCTTTTTTTAGGTATTGACTTTAATTAAGCGTCATAATATCATCGACTCAGGACGACAAAATCTCCTTCATTCAGGAAAAATGCAAGTCGTTGCTGTATCAGACACCTGGACTGAAAGACTCCAGTCATTCATAGAAGTATTTATTCCACAACCTTACGTATGTATTGGCTCATTTGTGGAAGCAGCTGCATACTGTAAAGTCAGAGGAAGAATGCTGATTTGTCATTCCAAAGATAAAATGAACAAACTTTTGGGTAAGTTGTTTTTTGCAAACTGAACTGAATTTAAATATTTTCTTAACAAATTGTAAACATTTTTCCTTCTTTCTAGACGTCCTTATGGATTACTCGAAAAATAAGACAATGATATTTTGCATTAACAGCGAAGAAGCTATTAAATTAAATAACTTTCTTTTATCGCAATCTGTTAAAACATTGTTGGTCCATGAAGACATGGAAATCCTAAAAATTGAGGGTGAATCAAAGGATCCGTTAATTTTGAGCATTTAAAGCCAATAAATTGAAATATTATATTAATATTAAAAATTTTATGCATAGCAATCAAAGAAGTTTGGGATAGATGTTTATCTGGGTTGTGTCTTGTCGTTGTTTGCCCCGATCAAGTTGAATTTGAACTTTGCGTTTAAATTTTATATTATATTATGCATAGCAATCAAAGAAGTTTGGGATAGATGTTTATCAGGGATTTACCCTGTCGTCATTTGCACTGATCAAGTTGCATTCGAACTTGACATTTCAGATATAGAATTTGTAATTCACTACACAGTGACCAATATTTCTAAAACTAAATTCAGCCAAAGATTTTTTGTTTTCATGGATCACTGGATTCAGGTAGTTGAGTAAGTTTTTAAATAAAATTACACCGAAAATTAATTTTTGCATTATTTTATCGATTCAGGAGACAAAAAATAATTGCAAAGTCATGGTTTTGTTCGACGAAACTAAAGAAAACGTTCACTTCAAAGGAGTCATAAATGTTTTAAAAAGACTGAAAGTCGATCTGCCGAGTGATTGGGACCAAATAGCTGACGTTAGTAGTTTTCGAAAGTAAATTTTAATTAATTACAATACACTTCGTAACGATGATTACTTATTTTGTTCATATCAGGGCTTGGATATGGCAGCAGATCTTAAGAAAAAACATTATCCTATTTGTGACCAAATCAAAATGTTTGGATATTGCAAAAATAATTCTTGCACATACCGCCATCGTGTTATGGCTGATGCTGATAAACCAACATTCCACATATCCATGTAACTATCTTGTGTTTTGTAACAATACTGTATGTTTAATATTTTCACTTAATTCCATAAATTATTATTTACAGTGGTGATGAGTTGAAGTTAATCATCTTGGCTACACATGGCGCGAATTATTTGACGGCTCGAATAATGGAAGTTATTAAAACATGCGAGAAAACGGGATCCAAAACCACAAAGGAATATTCGTACAGTATAGAGGCTACCAAGTTACAAACAAGATTAAAAAATTTCTTTGCAAACTCTCTCAACAGGTGAGTGAAAAAAAAAGCATGTACATGTGTTTAATATATGTATAATGGGTACTACTAAAATTTTCACGAAACTTCATTTTTTTTAGGGTTTCACTGAAGGATGTAGTTGTTGGCAAAATTTGCGCGCTTAGGTACATTAGCGCTTACTCACGAGTACAAGTACTGAAAGTTATTGAGTATGATCCTAAAACTGAAAAGCCAAGGATTGTTCGTCTTCGATCTGTAGATGATGGCAAAATACACGAAAAGGCTTTTGTAAGATTATTTGTTAAAATATTTTAATGGGAAAATTTTTTACTTGAACTTGTACTTTACAGGTTTACGATCTGTTTGAGCTTCCCGAAAATTTAGCGAGTGTACAATTACCAGTAATTGAAGTGATCTTAGTTAATATTGCACCTTTTGATGAAGAAACTAAATGGACTGATTTAGCCACTACAGAGTGTAACGATTGGTACAAGAGAGAAATTACCTCTACAGTAAATGCTTACGCAAAGGTAATGCTTTACCAATTCATAATTGAAATATACCACACACAGAATAAATAATTAAGCAAATTTTAATTTCTCTAATTCAATTTCCTAGGTGCTCCTGCAAATCGGTAATTGCATATTTACAGAGTCTCTCATAGCTAGCAGAAAATCCAAAGGTTATGAAAATTTAAAGTTGTCGTCGTTGAAAGATTCAATACTGAAAAATGGACATGCCACAAAAAATGAAAGTCATTTGGAAAGCTTAGTAAACTTATGTATTAATGGTGGTATAACAGAAATCAATGGTTCACCAATTAGATTGCCTGAGAAAAACAAAAATTCTCTGGATGATTGCGATTAATCAGATCAATAAAAAGTTCCTTTCGTCCCTTTCAAATTTATAAGTATTTTCATTGTACTAAAGATTCGTTTGAAAAGTTGTAGTTTGTATTAAAATCTAATGGATCTTGCAAAACCTTGAATCTCAACTATTTTGTGATCTTTTTATTACATAAGTTATTTTTTTATATTAAATACATGTTAAACAATGTTTATAACAGGTGATAAAATAAAAATTGTTCAAGAAACATATCTATTAATGAGTTTTTAGTAAATATTATATATATATTTAAGAAAGTTATTTTTTACAAGTATTTACATATTCAACGAAATCTTTATCGGAAAGGAGTAAAAATTTTAAAAAATGTGGCCTGTAATTGATATTTTTCAGCTGTGAAAATCTATTAATTATTAATTCTCCAGAAAGATGAAGTACCTCTATGGAACATACTATATCATGCCAATCATAGCCTTCTTTGATGATTAAATCAGTTATTAACTTTACCTGATTCAAAGTTTTGTTCTGGAGATTACGAGTAGATAATTTAAATTCTATCAATTTTTTGCGATAGCCTGTTTTTTCACTTAAAAACTTAACAACTCCACTATACTCTAACAAACCAATAGATTTTTCGTTTAGGGTTGTTAATTTCCTGAAATGCGAGTAGTAACTTCTAAATTTACATGCAGCTAAATTAATAATCATATGTATCTGATTAAAGTTTACCTTGTAAATTCTGATTCTTTGCAATTCAAAATCCATGGTTTTATAGGTAACACACTTTCAAATTTTGAATAGATTTTTAACCTTTCCTTAGCTACTTTGCTGTCTATTAGTACGTTCCAATTGTATTTCAAGAGACTCTTAACAGTGACGTTTTTGTCTGGGAAATAAATGGAAAGTTAATATGGTTTCTTTTGACAATAAACTGTTATTTTTTATACACAGTGTAAAGTGTTTTACATTAAAATGTTGACTTGTTATACGTACCTAATAATAATTTTATAACTGCTACAGTATTATCATGGTGATGTATCATACAGTACAAGTATTTAGATATAAGACTATACACTTCATCATTTTCAACCTAAAATGAACATGTATTTGTTACTGTTTGCTTTAAAGTAATACAAGAATATTTGGTTAAATTTACCTTCCACTCTTCTTTATAAAATTTAACTTTATTTCTGATTGAATCTTCACAAGTAACTCCAGGTTTTGAATCAAACAATTGCTCTAAACTGCTTGCACTGTGATACAATAGGGGTAGGGCAGACTTAATATCGTCAACATATTCCTGTACATACGTAATCTTTTTTTGCAGAACATCACTATCCTCACTAAGTAAATCCATGTTGTTTCTAATAACAGGCAAACTCACACCGGCAATCTTTAATTTTTCACAATTATCTATCATTGCTTTTTTTGTAGTGTGAGTGAAGGCTTGGTTTCTCGTAACAATGACTTTAGCATCTTCACGAGGTATTTTAAAAATTTCTGTGATTGTTTTTATTGCACTAGATTGTCCAACTGCATTTCTATTTAGACTTTGTTTGAGCTCGGTAAAACTATTGCAAAAAATCTGCTTTTCAAGGACACTGTCAAGTATATACGTAAAGTTGCTCTTCAATGTGAGAAAGGGAGATTGTCGCTTTGATGCAGAATTTATATTTCTCAATTTGTGAGATTGATGAAACAGTTGACATAATGCTGTATGAACGTTTTTGTCAAAGCATTTAGTTACAACGCTAGAGTGCATTTTGTTTTTTAACCTGAAAAAAGGGTTGATAGTTGTACATTAACTTTTAACGTGCAATAAAACAAGGCTTTAAGTAGTAAGTATATTGTCTTACACAAGTTTACCTTCTTTTTTGTGTTTATTATTTCCAATATCATTATCAAATTAAAATTAGTTTTTGTTGACCAACATTACGACACTTCTGTAGTATTGTTACATCTTATTGCCGACAATGTCAAGATCTACTTGCTGTACATATAGGTTAGGATAAGCGTTTAAGCTGGACATATACTTGACGTGTTTAAATTTCTTGTGCGGTTTTCCTTGTCAAGAGATGATTGCTCATTATTATTATTATTAATATTATTATTATTGTACAGTAAAATTACACCATGTATACGATAAAAATGACGAACAGTGAAAATTTTGTACTGTCATAACAACAAATTGTTACATATTGTTATCAACCAAATTCCATCAAGAATGATTTTACAAATAATTCAGTGCCCAAGAGACGGAAAACGAAACATCTGGATACACCAGAATCCTAATTTTGTTAGTGATTACATTTTAACTGTTAATTGTATATAAATACTATTATCTATGCACTTCCGACACACGCAATTAATTTGACGTTTCATCCTTTTCGAATCATCGCGCGCTTTGAAAAGAAATACGAGCCAATGAAAAAGCAGACTTCATTCACTTCTTCTCGGTCTTCTCGCCATTCGCCATACTTAGTCCATAGTCCATATTTTGCGTCATGCGTATTTAATTTACGTGAGTTTTGAGCAGAGATTTTGAGTCAGTCGAGTGCCTCCATGACAAAAGTTGCGTGTTTTTGAGTATTGTAATCGCGTCGCGTTCTGTTGTTGGGATGTGCTCCAAATTCTGAATCAGCAATACTTAGAATAATCGATAATGGGTGCATCACTTAGTTAAAAACCAGATCCAGTGTGTAATACTTTCGTGTCTAAAGATTTGCATCTAATGGACTCTTTGAGTTCGTCGTTCTTGAGTACTGCGAGCAAAGATCCTTCAAACGTGACAGGGAGTTCAATCAGCAACGAGGTAGCTTGTGGAGTCATTCACTCTAGCCATATTAGCCAGCCCGAACAACTGCAGCAGGAGCAGCAGGTAGCCACCGTTGACAATACTGTTAGTCAGGTTGCTGCTTTAAATGCCGTCGAGAAGGGTAAAAGAAATAAGTCAGGAGGCGGTCCACCAGTTATCGTCGACAATCACAATAACACCACTGCTATCGCTACCACTACCAGTACAACTGCCATTATCACAACAACAAAAACAAAAACAAAAACAACTACCCTGTCGTCATCTTCAAAATCTTCTTCCTCAAAAATGTCGAATCGAGCAGGTTTAAATTTTATCGTCGGCTCGAAGCTCGAGGCCAAGGACTTCAACGAGAAGTGGTACTCGGCCAAGGTCGTCGAGACTGACTGGTCGGAGCGGGAGGTGCTCATCCACTTCGAGAAGTGGAATTCCCGTTACGACGAGTGGATACCCATGGATAGTTCGAGGCTTCGGGTGCTCCAGACCAATCCCAGAGACGCCAAGTCAAAGGAGTTTACTGTCGGTGAAAGAATACTGGCTACCTGGGCAGATGGAAAAAAGTACCCCGCGAAGGTTAACGCTGCGCTCGGCAACGATAAGTATGACGTACTCTTTGACGATGGCTATTCCAAACATTTAAAGAGCTCAAAGATGACCAAAATTGTAGAGTTTGCCGTCGCAGCCGAAAAATTTGACGAGCAGGAGCAAACGGAGCTGCAGCAGCAGCAACAGCAGCAGAACACTTATGTGGGTAGTAAGCAGGAGAGAAGAGATAAAAAGAGAAAGCACACTGTTACAGAACTGTTTCAACACAAGAAAAAGACTAAAAGTGAGAGTGATAAGACTGTCAAAAGGCAGGATCTGAATAGTGCAAAAAGTGGGGCAAAAGTGGATCATCACACAGTTGGTGCATTAGTTGTTGAGCCAAATCTTGCCACAGAAGTGCACCAGAATGTCGTTGCTCCAGGTACGCGAATCTAACATTTGAGAAAGTGTAATTGAATTGATCAGTAGGTAATGAATTTATGATTTGGTTGCTTTTCATTTTTAGGTAATGCAGAGGATGATTATGCCACTTACATTGGGGACTTGAGAGTGGAGATTGAGGATAGTATGTACAAGTGTCCAATAGCAGGATGCAACAAAAATTTCAGGAAAGAAAATTTGTTGCAAATGCACATAAAGCACTATCATCCAGAATACTCCAAGTACTTGGGCTCAACACCAAACGTTGCTGATTTAGCATATGCCAGAACGATAGGTGAATCAGTTGAAGATGTTTTACCAAAGAAGTCAAGGGCACCTCCAATTCAAGTAAATCAAACTGTCTATGCTTCTCCGTCAATTCCTCATGTTCCTGAAACAGAGCTCAGTCAAGTAGATGCGGACAACAAACTTGATAGTAAGCATTACTTGGAAAATAATACAAGTCTCACTGAAGATAACTCTTCGGAGCAAAGCAATAGTTGTACCATGTCGCCAGGTACTCTGTTTGACATGCGTTATAAAGAGGAGAGAACGCACACTGGTATAAAAACACTACCTCCTGTTAGACATATCACATCAGCAATCCTGGATGACAGTGAGCATTCTCAGTACTCAGGGGTGCCGATTGATCAAAAGTCTAGCGAAAAGCCTAAACCTCAGCGAAAAAGACAACACAGTGAATCAGCAAGCAAGAACAAGAGACAACAAAAAAGTATTTCTGAACACGAAGAGAGTAACGACCACTTTGAGGATACCATCTTGGATGGTGATGACACAATCGACTCAAGTTACAAGTGTAGTAATATTAGTAATAACAAGTCGGAACTCGACAATGCAGATAGTATGCAGAGTCAGGCTGAAAATGTTATAATAATTGACGGTGAAGTTGTGAAAGTGGAAAAACTACGCCGAGAAGAAATAATAAACTGTATATGTGGTATTACAGAAGAAGATGGACTGATGATACAATGTGATTTGTGTTTATGTTGGCAACACGGTATCTGCAATAGCATCGAAAAAGAGAAGGATGTTCCTGAAAAATATGTATGCTACATATGTCAGAATTCACTGCGACAGAGGCCTTCGAAAAAGTACATTCATGATCAGGACTGGATTCGCGAAGGAAAATTACCAACTATGCAAACCTCTACTGATGTGCTGAAAGGGAACGAAAAAGCTGCCATGTTAAAAAGATCTTATGATCTTATTACCGGACTTATGCAGATGCAAGATATACTTCACAGTTTGAGGGTTAAAATAAACATATCTCAAAGTAAAGATCACCCAAAGCTCTATCTTTGGGCGAAAAATTGGAGTAAAGTCGAAATTCCAACGTTCCCTCTTGATCCAGTACCAATAATGGAAGTGATAAAAGCTGAAAATCCCAGTGATACGCTTGACAAAACTATTCACGACAAGTTAGACTTTTCATTTTCCATAAAAACTGAACCCGATCAGAAATCAATCACATCTGACACAGAATTGATGAGTATTTTAGAAGATGGTTCTCACAATGAGAAATCAAAATTTAACGTGAAATCGACTTCACCTGTCAACAAAGATGACGGTCAGATTTCAACTTGTGCTCCAAATACGAATGAAATCAAGGAAGAAAAAGGCCAGCAGACACTACAAATAAAACAAGAAATCTGTTACGACTCTCCTACAAACCACAACTTGAGCTTTAATAACACCGACAAAACAATGTCATTTACTGCCACATCCGAGGTAGGAGGTACAACAGTAAATGCGCTGCAACGACCAGTGATTCCCGAACCAGAGGCTCCAATTGATCCAGTTGATTGTAAGTTGCGACTTTTGGAGCACATCGAGCATTATCAAAATTATGTGGAAAAGGCGCTTACTTTTGTGGAGAATCAGTTGAGTGCCTTAGAAGATATGAACAATGATGATAAGCGAGATACCAGCAAAGACGTCAGGACTAAACAAACTACTCAAATGATTCTTCGTGATTTAGAGTCCATGCGAAAAATGGCTGCTCTGTCTAAAATGAATCAAGTTTAGCTGGGATCTCTCGGTTGCTTCTTGTTATAGTGTAAATACATAATTATTTTCAATCCAAACCAAGTCGTCATTGAAATTTTGTGAGAAAAAATAAATGTAGCAGAGTTTTTATATTGTGCACATCGGCATTGTTATTTACGATACCTTGCAAAACTCTTCTTTTTTTTTTATTCATGAATATAATAACAAATATGCATTTTTCACGATTAATTTTCTTTAAAAAATTATATTTTTGTATATGAAATTCACCAGATATTCGTGCTTATCGGTAAAGATACAAAAAATGAGTCTCACGCATCGTCCATTCCGCGTTGTTAATTTTTTTTTTTTTTTTTTTTTTTTTTAGATAATTTTGTATGCACTTGCACATGAAACTTGGTAGGTATTAACAAGAATATACAACTGTGTAATGTGGCTTTATCCTTGGCAACTGAAAAATTTTGTTCAGTTAAAGTCTAAAATTCTCACCGTAAAGCTTATCTGATAATAGCTACATCTTATAACATAACATATAAATAAATAAAAAAATCTGAAAAAATACGCACATTTTCCTACATGGAAACGTAAGCTTAAAATATTTGTTTATGGATGTAAATTAAAACAAAAGAATATTCGCTCTCTTGTAATGCTAGTAAAAACTATTTAAAATTCCAATAGAATACTTTTTCGAAAAATTCTTGCTTCGCTCTTACCAGATTTTCAATAGAAAAAAAAAAGAAATAAAATCCCTTAAACTCGTGCATACATGAGTAAAAGTAAGCCTCGGCAAAAAATACGCTCGTTCATCTGGTTGGAATTATGGTTTTTCGACTCGCGGGACCGGCTTTATTAAAATATAGAAGTTTCCGCCTCAAAAATTTTTTACTCCGCGAATGGAATCTAATAACTCCGTCGATGCTCCCAGAGAACGTATTGCTCTTTTTTTCTTTAATTTATAACTGCGTTTTTTGCGGATCAAAGCTTCCGTGAAATCCTCGCGAGAGCACGGCTCGCTGTTATTGATTTTGGAGATGCAGAGCAAAGTAGATAAGTACCGGCGCGGTTGGTTGGAACCGATACAGTTGAGTCCCAGTTTTTGGGCGATCGGCCGATCTGTGCTTACATATGTTTTATTATTTTTTTTTTTATTTTTTTTTGTTTTACACATTATTTGCTTATTCGATACGTGGGGGATGAAACGCGAGATAGCCACGATACGAGAGATTCAATTTTCTTTTTTTTTTTTTTTTTCTCTTTCGACCCGATAAAATTGATTAATGAAACCCTGGTGGAGAAAATAGGCCATGCATTTTATTTAAAAAATCGTTGGATGTAGTAGTTTTTTATTTGCTTCATTTTTTACGTGCACGTATGTACGTATACGTGTATATATTTATATCCAGTGGTTGTAACGTCACCTGTACCGCCATATGTGAGAAAACAGCAGATGAAAAACATTTGAAAATTTATCTCAGGCATTAACTGATTAAAAAAAAAAATTCTTATGTCAAACTTGCAACGGTTGTAATCTCTATGCACAGTAAAAATTGTCACATTTTGTATAGAAACATAAATTTCAAATTCAATGGGATACGACGACAGAGTTGTTTGGCCCGCACAGTTGAGCCAGGCTTTACCGCGAGCCAACGAATGACTTTCTAAAATGCAATCTGCACTGAATCTCCAACTGCTCCAGATTCCTTATTTTATTTCATGATTCGTCCTCCTTTACTTTGTCAAAGTCGCAAAAAAAAAAAAAAAAAAAAAAAAAAGGCGTCGAAGGACAAAATTGCATCCCAACCGCGCGCCAAAAAAGCCGTGCATGTTGTATACACTTCGGTATTTTCTGCGTTCGCGCTTTTTCCGTCCTTCGTTTTCCATCCACATTCTCTCTTTTTCGATGTACACACTCTTGTACCCGCGGCGTCGTTTTTCCAGCCTTTTTCCTTTTATCCCCTATCACTTTGCGCGCCCGATTTTTTTGGTTGTGCCCTTGCAAACACGCCAAATCGCAGAAATCGGCTTGCGCGCGTTGTTATTTGTATTTCCCGTACCATACGCTCCTCGAATACCTGTTATTTACAAATATTGCTTTTTGCTTTTGCTGCTACTGACATTGCGGTCATCCACTCGATCTGTCAGTGGGTGAACATTTTTCGTTCATTTTCACTCGCTCGGTATGTATATGCAACATCATTTTGTGTCTACACAGATGTGTGGGCAGTTTGTTTATTTGAATGTATTTTTTTTACAAATCTATTTTTGTTACAGAAAAAATATTTTCTTTTTTCTTTTTTTTTTTTTTTTTCCATTTGTGAGTCATTAAATTTTAGTATTCCATAACTCGTCCATAGGTACAATGTGCATTTTTAGTAATTTTTTTTGTAAATCTTGCAGGGTCACACATTTGATAAACCCAAGGATTGGGGAAACAGCCACTAAAAGCTTCATTTCCTTGATGCCAGCTAAGGTAACCTAAACACGAAATTCCAGAACAATGGAAATAAGTGAAAAATACGTTGCCAAACTCAAAAGTATGTGTCACGTATACATCCCATTTATTTTGTGTAAACGGCTTTTCCTTGACACATGTGGGGGATAAATAATTTCCTCTCAAAGGTTTACCTCAAAAAACTTTCTTTTTTTTTTTTTTCATTTCAAAGCTCTCTGCTAACCCGAGTTTTTTTCTGCGAAATCGCTCTTATACGTGCACGTGACATGTGCAGTACAATCAACTATGGGCTTTTTTTTTATTCTTCATAGTTTCCAATTGCCTGCCGAATTTTCATCTTGTCCATTTACGCGAAAAGGGGGGTGGGGGTGAAGTCCGCCTTTTTGCAGAAAAGAGTGATTGGAAAATTGACGTCCACTCCGTTTACACGCGTTTTGAGAATACAAAATTCATGATCGAAAGGAGCTGAGAATGGCATTTTGCGACTCGATTGCCGTACAAAGCTGCGTGATGAGCTTAAGGTTTTCGGGCCACCAACATACAGACCTATATCCTATCGGGTTGTCCACTCGCGTGCTCGGGCGCTCCCTTGATGCATATATATTTCTCTCCTTTTTTATCGCGGCGCGTGAATTTTCCCGCGAGTTTCGTGGGACATTTTTGCATGAGCCCCGATGGATACGAAGCTGCGCTACGAGAGCTCAACGGTACGTTATCTAATGAAGCGACGCGCAAGTACTTGCCTTGAAAAACCGGAAAATTGATAAGGCGAGCTGATTGCGGTTACGGTCTAGCGTCATAAAATGCGTGAACACATAATTATGGTTACGAAACGAATTGTTTCGCGTGTTTGTCTCACGATTATCAAATTTGGTTTCCATCTGTAGGTGTACTTACAGAAAAAAAAAAAAAAATAACCATTAGCATTAACATTAAAAAACATATGTATAATAGTCAACCCAAATCCACGCACTTGTCGATTGAGGGCGAAACTCTCTATTCGCTTCGCGTAACAATAATCACTTATACCCATACACCTGCAGTATACGCATAGAAGCTATTTATCGAGCGCTCATAGATTTTCAAGATGCAGTATACGAGTATAAAAGCTGTAGGATATATACGTATATACTTACCTGTACACGGCCGCGGAAAACTGTGGCGGCTTTCACCGTCTCTGAGCCGAGAGAGCACCTTTCCTTTACGTGCGCGACGGGTAAGTATGCATGCATTTACAGCCGCTGGCCTGCAGTAGGAGAAAGACATAGGTACGTATATGTATATACCGATACCGCTGCTTAGCGTGTCGATCGGTACATACTTGGCCAACAAATATACGTGTGTATACGATGTATGGCTCGCTCTTATACCCAGAGAGTAGTGCTAGCTGAGCCGCTATGAAGTGCGCCACTGTGCTTTATAGTTTAACGATTTTTTTTTCTTTCTCTTTCTTTTATTTTCCAAAAGATCGGTTGACAATGTTGTGTTGCCTCGATCGGGCGTCGACGCGAGTCATCTCTGCTCCCCCACCTGTGTCATCAAGTTTCGGCTTTTCTTATCGCGGTGCCGTGTGTTTTCTTCATTAAGTGCCGTGCGCGAGTCATTATATACACGGCTCTGGCAAATCAACCGTAGTTTTTCGGCGCAGGTTTAGTTTCGTGCGTGGGTCCTACACGGCTGGGTGGCTCTTTTTTTTTCGTCCTCAAGCGCGTCACGTTTGATGAAGAAGGTTGTTCGTGTGTGGTGTTTTATTGGCTAAGGTAGTTGTTTTCCCTCCCTCCCTCATTTTTTTTTTTTTTTTTTTTTTTTACCATCTTTTTGTTTGTTACCCTTAAAATTTCAAATTCTGCGTTCGCTTGGCATGGCTTGTATTACCTGAACAAATAACAAAACGCAAGTTTCCGCATACCTAACGTCTCATTTAAATTACCAATTAGTTTACGTTTTAAGTATACGCAAACTTCATTGTAATACGAAATTCTGATGGAAAAAAATTATCTAAAAATCGATGTTATCTGTACCGCGTAGACAATATATGAAAAAAAAAAAAAAAAAAAACAGACTGTGGCAACGGTAACAAATTAAGGCTTGATGATAACACAGTGATAGTTTTATCAAATCGATTTTCACTGTTCGCGAGTCATTTGTAACAAACTCGTGTGCCATAGTCCATCTGTGACGAACGAAAGTCGGACATCAGGTTAACGTGAAGAGCCGCGGTTGCATCAGTGCATGCAGCAACCGGTACTCGTAGACGTAGAAAGTGTATCTTGTGTGTATATATATAATACGACTCTCGCTGTTACTTGACTCGAGCCATTCCTGGTCGCATATTAACTTATAGAACATCTGCGCACGAGAGCAAACGTGGCGATCGGTGCGTCCATCGTTTTCATTAACGATAGTTACCGATTTTTTTATGAACCACTGTAACAGTGAACCTGAAAAGGATCGGTTGATAAATTTTACTTTCCCGCATCGTAATTTTTACTGTTCGAACCATAATTCTGACTACTCAAACTATAATTTTAACCGTTAAAAAGATAGTTTTTTGCCAGCTTGCATCCGATTTACCGAAAAGAATGGTAATTTGCTAGAATTTCTCTATAGTTTTTATTATTATTTTTTTTTCTCCCAGTGAACAATAATAATAAAATTGCTGTTTCCGATGATTATTACAAAACAAACC